TACTTTGAGGAGGCAGCTCTTCCCCATCAGTGGAAGAATTGATGACTAAAAGAGCTGAACAGAAGATTTCAAAGGGCAGCTTGAGAAGACAGCATGAAGTGTTGTAATGAAATGGGCAAAGACCTGGAGTTTGAAAATCAAAAGGGAAGAACATGCTTGGCATTACTCAAGTTAAAAGAACTGAAGACAATTCAAGCTTTGAGTTGCGATATTGAAGAATTCTATGGGCAAAATGTTGAACAATGAAGGAAGAGCATAAAAAAGAAGATGGAAGGAATATACAGAGTCACTGCATCAAAAGGAGTTGATTGACTGCCATTCAGCCATTTCAGGAGGTAGCATATGATAAAGAACCAGGGGTACTCATGGAAGGAATTGGCGAAAAACAAGAGTCTAGGAGTTGGCAGAATACCCACTGAGATGTTTGAACAAATGGATGCAGTACTGGAGGCACTTACTTGTTTATGCCAGAAATTTGCAAGACATCTACCTGGCCAACTGATTGGAAGAGATCCATATATGTACCCATTCCAAAGAAAGGTCATCCAACAGAATGTGAAAATTATTGAATGATGATTAATATCACATGCAAGTAAAATTTTGCTGAAGATAATTAAAAAATGGTTGCAGCAGTATATTGACAAAGAACCTCTAGAAATTCAAGTCAGATTCAGAAGAGGGCATAGAAGATGGGGACGGGGATACCATTGCTGATGTCAGATGAATCTTGGTTGAAAGCAAAGAATACTAGATAGATGTTTGCCTGTGTTTTATTTATTGACTTTGCAGAGGCATTTAACTGTGTGGATCATTAGAAATTATGGATAACATTGTGAAGAATGGGAATTCCAGAACACTTAATTGTTATCATGAGGAACCTATACATAGACCTAGAAGTAGTCTTTCAAACAGAATGAGGGGTAGTACGTGTTTTAAAAACAGGAAAGATGTGTGCCAGTGTTGTATCCTTTCACCATACTTATTCAATCTGTATGTTGAACAAATACAAGAAGCTGGACTATATGAAGAAGAAGAACATCAGAATTGGAGGAAGACTCATAATAATCTGCAATATGCAAATGACACAGCCATGCTTATTGAAAGTGAAGATGACTTGAAGCTCTTATTGATGAAAATCAAAGACTACGGTCTTCAGTGTGGATTACACCTCAGTATAAAGAAAACAAAAATCCTCACAGCTGGACCAGTAAGCAGCAGCATGATAAATGGGGAGAAGATTGAAGTTGTCAGGGATTTCACTTTACTTGGATCAACAGTCAACACCTGTGGAAGCAGCAGTCAGGAAATCAGACAATGCATTGCATTGGGCAAATCTTCTGCGAAAGACCTCTTTAAAGTCTTAAAGAGCAAAGATACCACTTTAAAGACTAGGATATGCCTGACCCAAACCATACTATTTTCAGTAGCCTCATGTGCACGTGAGAGCTGGACCAGGAATAAATAAAACTGCAGAAAAATTGATGTGCTTGGATTGTTGTTGTTGTTGTTATGTGCCATTGAGTCAGACCTAACTCATAGCAACCCCTCCTTGGGTTTCCAAGGCAGTATCACTACAGAAGTAGGATTGCCCAGCCTTCCTTCCGACGAGTGGCTGGTGGGTTTGAACTGCCAGCCTTCTGGTTAGCAGTCAAGTGCCTTAGGCACTATGCTACCAGAGCTCCTGGATTGTAGTGTTGGTAAAGAATATTGAGTACACCATGAACTGCTAGAAGAACACGCCAATCTGTCCTGGAGGAAGTACAGCCAGAATGCTCCTTAGACGTGAGAGTGGCCAGGTGTATCTCCTGCTTTGGTCATGTTGTCAGAAGGGAAGCAGTCCCTGGAGAAGGGTATCATGCTTGGCAAGGTAGAGGGTCAGTGAAGTAGGGGTAGACCTTCAACAGAATGGATCGACACAGTGGCTGCAACGATGTGCTCAACACAGCCCTGATTGTGAGGGTGGCGCAGGGCCGGGCAGTGTTTCGTTCTGTTGTACGTAAGGTCACCCACGTACAACCAGCTGGAACCAACTGGATGGCACCTAACAACAACAGCTTTAGTTCCAGCGTTTTCTTCCTTCATACTCCTTGAGCTTATTTGGTATCCATGGGACAGACTTATAACTGTTATCTGTTTATCTGAAGACAGGTGGCAGGGTTACAGGTATTCAGAGCTACTTTCCTTAGCAGGGAAGTCTGTGTTGGCAGGTGTTGAGACTTGGCTGGCCTGACACAGGGGTCTTCACTCTTTGGAAGGAAATCTGGGCATCTTTATTCTCTACATCAGCATGAATTCCAGTGGAGTTAGATGCAATTTTTTTTTTTAATAGTAATTTGGGTAAAAGTTTTTTGTTTTAAGTTTTTAAAACAACAAAGAAATGAGAGTATTAATAAGTACTTGATACTGGGTAAAGAACAATGTTTAAAGCATAAAGATAATGAAAAAATGACAGATTTGTATAAAATTGAAAAACTGGAAATTGAGACGGAATATAAAGAAAATTGTTAGAGTATGTGTGCATAAGAAAATCATAGTAGAAGATGAAACATAACCAGCCAAGTTTATATATTTAATCTCACCAACAGTGATAAAAATAAACACATTAAGCAATGGATGCCATCAGATTAGCAAAATTAAAGACTTTACATGCTGGCAAAAGTGCTTTAAAACAAGCATTTTCATATATTTTTGCAAGAAACTAACTTGGTATAACATTTGTAGAAAGCAATTTGATAATATTTAAAAACTTTAAATGTTTTAATACTTTGACATAGTAATTTTTCATACATAGGACTCTGTCCTAAAGCTGTTACTTACAGATGCAAATAAAATATTTGCATAATATTAACTATTTCACAGTATTTTCTTATAATAGGGAAAAACTAGAAATCACATAAATTCCCAAGAGTGAGGAAGTGTTTTCTTAAATAGAAAATTATGTAGTCATGATGTTATATTTTTCAAAAATATTTTAAAGACATGGGAAAATGCTCATGTAAGAAAAAAATTCATATATAATGTTGTATTCATACTGTTGCAATTTGGTATACATGCACACAACTTGAAATGTGGCAAAAAAAAAAAAAAGGCAGTGGAGTTGGAGGTAATAACATTTTTTTCCATATCTTCCAATTTTATACAATGTTACTTGCAATGCGAGTGCATATTATATACAAACCTAAACATTGTCTTAGTGATTAGTTCCATTTGTAGTTTCTGAGAGAGGTGCTACGGCATGAGGGTGAGGAGCACAGGCAGACCTGACTTTGGATCTAGCTGCCTTGTGTCCCTTCTCTGACTTTGACCATGTTACTTGCCTAAGCCTCCCTCTCCTCATCTGTAAAATGGGACTCATAATACTTAAGCACAGAGTTGTCAGGCTTAGAATTGATCATGTAGATAACAGCCTTTTACACTCTGAATTCCACAACAGAATGAAGACCTGATGTCTTCAGGCATCACTGTAGTACTGAATTACCTCGTCTCTCTCCTGTGCATCTAGAATGGTACTAGTTCTGCGCCATCCTTAAGAGAATTGAGAAAACACTTACCTAGATCACTGTCCATTGAAGGTTTGAATGAGGAACCTGGCTAAAGTGTTCAGCACATAAAAAACCCACTGCCATTGAGTCGACTCCAGCTTATAGCAACAATATAGAACAGAGTAGAGCTGTCCTGTAGGATTTCCAAGGCTTAAATCTTTAAGGAGCAGACTGCCTCATCTTTCTCCTGTGGAGTGGCTGGTGGGTTCAAGCCACTAACCTTTTGGTTTGCAGCCAAATGAATGCTTTAGCCACTGCCCCAAGAGAGTCCCTTGCTTGGCACTTGTTGTTAGGTGCAGTTGAGTTGACTCCCACTCACAGTGACCCTGTGTGCAGCAGAACAAGAAGCACTGCCTGCTCCTGCGCCGGCCTCACAATCCTGGCTGACCCTAAGCCCCTTGTTGCAGCCGCTGTGTCCATCCATCTTGTTGAAGGTGCTCCCCTTTTTCACTGACTCTTCGCTTTACCGAGCATGATAGCCTTCTCCAGGGAATGATCCCCTCTGACAACATGACCAAAGTAGGTGAGACGAAGTCTGGCCATGTGCTTGGCACATAAAACCAGAAAACCCCAAACCCATTATTGTGGAGTCACTTTGAACTCATGGCGATCCCACATGCTTCTAAGTAGAACTGTGTTCCACAAGGTTTTCTTGTGTAATCTTATAGAAGCAGGTGGCCAGGCCTTTTTTTATCCACCCTTGTGGTGCCGTTGGGTGGATTCGAACTGCTGACTTTTCAGCGAGTAACCTAGAGTAAACCATTCGCACCACCTGAAGGCCTTCTGGCCACCTAAGGATGTAGTAGGCACTCAGTGCACGGTAGCAGCTTTCTTGTTGCCCTGGAAGTCACGGAAAGGAACGGTGGCTTTCTGGATCTCTTGGCTTGGTGTGAGTCTCTGGGAAGGGCATTTTCCTGAGTGTGACCTAGTGAGTGGGCGTCTGGGTGGTAGTTTCTCAGGCTTTATTTTTGGGTCTGGGACTGGCTCTGCCTGTGATGGTAGGCAACTCAGCCCACGCATCCTCTTGCAGTGAGCCAGCTTCTTGCCCCCACCGCTCTGCAGGACAGCCTCCCATCTGGGAGAGTTTCAGAACTTGGGTTCTTGGCCCGTAACTGGAGCTCATTCAGGAGTTAATGCCGTTTCACAGGTCGCCATGTGGTACTGCATTCACTTCTGGATGGTTGTGCTGCTTGGTCAGGACTTGATGGTTGTTTTTGTTGTTTGATCATTTTTAAATATAATACTGCTAAACATACTGTTTTAGGAGCTCTGGTAGCTTAGTGTCTAAGGCACTTGACTGCTAACCAGAAGGCTGGCGGTTCAAACCCACCAGCCACTCCTTGGAAGGAAGATGAGGCAATCTACTTCCGGAGTGATACTGCCTCAGAAACCCAAGGAGAGGTCGCTATGAGTTGGGTCCGACTCGACGGCATATAACAACAACAGCAACAACAAACATACTGTTTTAATATATTTTCTGATGAGTATTTTCTCATGACTGCTTCTTTTTTTATTTTAGCTACTGACTTACTTCTTGCCTGGAATCCCATTTGTTTGGGGTTGGTAGAAGGTGTTATTGGGAAGATTCAACTTCATTCAGGTATGTTTCTGTTAAACACCTTAAACTTGTCAAATTCAATGTGACATCCTATAAAATTTTCCTCTTTGAGGATAAATGCAGATTCTGTTAAGTCATTGATCAGTTAGCCTTGGCTTTGGGTCTGCCTAAAAGGGGTTTGTTTCCGTTTAAGTTTCATGAATAAAAATAAGCTTTAGAGAAAAGGAGGCATTAGATTCAAGCCCTTTTTTCGTTTAAAAAAATGCTTATTGAATGTCTACTATGTGTTGAAATGGTAGTGGTAGAGTGTAATTCTGAACAAACCGGGCCCATTCCCATCCTCATGCAGCTTATGGTTTAGAGGAGACAGACATTGATGGATGATCGCTACATAAACGTATAGTTATTCAGTAATTACGGTGAGCACCGTGAAAGAAAGGTTCCAAGTGCCATGATGTCTGTAAAGGAGACAGTGGCTGGGATAAGAATGGACAGGTAGCCAGGTGACAGACATGGACTGGCTGGCTTTGGGTCAGGTGTCCATCCCTGATGCAGTCACCTGTGACCAGGAAGAGTCTGTGTTTCTTAGTATGCAGTGTGGTCCTCTCCAGGAGCCCTTTCCAAGGCAGGCAAATGGTGAAAGGTCTAGGTCATTCACTGAGACCCTAGATGGAAGGATAGGCACCTGGGCTCAGAGGCAGTTTTGTCAATGGGAAATACAATAGGTGTTAAAATAGGTGAGTACCAAAGAGGTAACTGAAAGGACTGAACTAAATACTTTCACCCACTGAATGTAAATATCTTATTTCCTTTGGTATTGGTTTTAACATGAGTTCTGAGCCATTGGAGACTTCCCATTACTGCTTCGTAATCGGGAAGACAGCTGCCTCGGGAATGTGCCCTTTCTCTCATTTTTCAAAAAAATTACTGGGCATTTGGGAGCTAGGTTGATTTTTGTGTATTACAGAGCACTCTTACTGGAGACAATCTCATTTTGCTTTGCTAGATTCTTTGGTTGGTTTTTAAAATTAGTTTTTATTATGCAATGTTTTACAGCTGCAAAAAGCTGAATATCATAGATATGCTATATAAGTTATTAAAAAAGAAACGCACATCTGTCCCCTACCCGGACGAAGAACTGGCCCACGACCGTTGTCTTGGAACCCTTTGGGTGCCTTTCTTCAAGTGTTTCCTGCTTTCTTCCCTTCAAGAGAACCTACTATTTGGAATTAGTACTTATTGGTCCTTTGATTTTCAGTATAGCTTTTGTTACTTAGATATCCCTGAACGGTGTGTCATTAAGGTTTTAAGGTTTGTATTTTGTGAACTTTATATAAACAATATTGAACTATGAGTTAACATTTTTTTTCTCTACTTTGCATTTTTGAAGGTTGTACATGGTGAAACATGAAACTGCGGCTCTTTATCTTTGCTGTTGTGTGACTAAATCATAATTGATTCTTTCACTTGTCATTAGTAATGGAGTTATTTCCAGTTTTTGCTATTGCAAATAATACTGCTATGAACGTTGTAGTATGTTCTGCCTTTGGTAGTTTTTTTAGAAGGGGGAAGAGGTTCCTAAGTAGCATTTTGACATTGCTTAACCGTGCTAATTATTAGTCGTTTGTAATGATTTTTCCCACCCATGTTTACACACACAGACTCACACACATATGTATCTTACCATTAGTGATTTCTTTAGTCATTTTTTAGGTATCATTTACTTTTGTATTTTTCATGTACTATTTTTTGAGAAGTTTTAGGTTTGCAGAAAAGTGTGCAGAAAGCATGGAGAACTCCTGCATACCCTGTCCTCCCCCCTACTCTTTATAGTTCCCTTTTTTATTAACATCTTGCATTGTTGTCCCTACTCTTTATAGTTCCCTTTTTTATTAACATCTTGCATTGTTGTTGTTGTTAGGTGCCTTCTGATTGGTTCTTACTCCTAGTGACCTTATGTACAACAGAAGGAAACACTGCCGGGTCCTGCGCCATCCTCACAATCTTTGCTGTGCTCATACCCATTGGTGCAGCCACTTTGTCAATCCATCTCATTGAGGGTCTTCCCTGATTTGCTGACGCTCTACTTTACCAAGCATGACATCTTTCTCCAGGGACTGGTCTCTTCTGACAACATGACTAAAGTGCCAGAGGCAAAGTCTCAACCATCCTTGCTTCTAAGGAGTATTTTGGATGTACTTCATCCAAGACATATTTGCTTGTTCTTCTGGCAGTCCATGGTATATATTCACTATTCTTTGCCAGTACCGTAATTCAGATACATCAGTTCATCTTTGGTCTTCCTTATTCATTGTCCTGCTTTCACACGTATATGTGGAGATTGAAAATACTACAGCTTAGGTCAGGGACGTCTTAGCTTTCAAAGTGACATCTTTGCTCTCTAACACTTGAAAGAGGTCTTTTGTAGAAGATTTGCCCAATGCAATGCATCGTTTGATTTCCTGACTGCCGCTTTCATGAGTGTTGACAGTGAATCCAAGTAAAGTGAAATCCTTGACAACTTCAGCCTTTTCTCAGTTTATAATGATGTTTCTTATTGGTTCAGTTGTGAGGATTTTTGTTTTCTTTATGGTAAGGTGTAATCATACTTTCGGAAAGCAAGGTTGTGTCATCTGTGTGTTGTAGGTTGTTAATAAGTCTTCCTTCAATCTTGATGCCAGGTTCTTCTTCATACAATCCAGCTTCTCGGATTATTTTCTCAGCATACAGACTGATGAGTGTGGTGAAAGGAGACAGCTCTGACACACTCCCTTCCTGATTTTACACCATGCAGTATCCCCTTGTTCTGACTGATCGTACTGATCATACATCTCTTAACATAAATGTAGTTGATTTGATTCCTGCATATTCCATGTGGTGACATCCACACATAGTCACTATTTATGTTATTGGAAAAAGGCTTTGCAGTGAATAAGTCATTGATCTTATAAAATTCTGTCATGAGATCTCCAACATCATTTTTATCACCAAGGCCATATTTTCCAACTGCCAGTCTGTTTTTTCCCCAACTTTTGCATTCCAGTCACTAGTAATTATCAGTGCATCTTGATCACATGTTTGGTCAAATCCAGACTGTAGAAGTTGGTAAAAATCTTCAGCTTTTTCATCTTTGGCTTTCAGTTGGTACATAAATTTGAATGGTAGTCATGTTAACTGGTATTCCTTGTGTGCAATGGATATTATCCTATCACTGTGTGTTGGATTGGGTTCTCTAGAGAAACACAAAAACCAGCAAAGT